CAGATCTACAAAGTTTGGATTTATCCTGCTCTGCCTGGCTTGGGTCTGGCTGCTGTGCTCAGCTCCTTCCTGCTGCCGCCCTTGGGAGTGAACATGTTGTGCCCCTCTGGCAAGATGTTCTCCTCCTGGACTAGCTGAATGGCTTTGTCTCCTACACTCTCTGCAGGGATTGCAGCTGCAGGGTTTCACCCCAGGCCTGTAGTCCAGGCCTGAGCTGAGTCTGGATGGGACAAGGTGGAGTAGCAGGGAGAGGAAACTCTCCCACACACTCACTGGGCCTGGGCTAGGGCTGGATCTTGGGGTCCCCAGAGTACAACAGAAATTCTCACTGGGTGAGCAGGGGCGATACTGCAGAGTGGTATAGGGGGCTCAAGGGGGTGAAAGAAGGTCTCACCCATGCTGCTCCTGGGCTTGGACCTGCAGGTCCAGCTTGTGCAGGGTGGCAGGATGCTCTCCCACACACTCACCAGGCCTGGGCTAGGACTGGATCTGGGGGTCCTCAGAACACAGCAGAAATTCTCACAGGGCAGGCAGGGTTGGGGGGTGCTGCAGATTGGTGGGGGGATTCCCAAGGGGGTAGAAGAGGTTCTCACCCGTGCTGCACCTGGGCTGGGACCGGCAGGTCCCATCGGCACAGGGCAGCCAGAAGCTGTCCCACATATTCACCGAGGCCTGGGCTAGGACTGGATCTGGGGGTCCCCAGAATGCAGCAGAAATTCTCACTTGGTGGGCGGGGGGGGTGTTGCGGAGTTCGGTGGGGGGGTGATCCCAGGGGGATTGAAGAGGGTCTCACCCTCACTGTGCCTGGGCTTGGACCTGCAGGTCCTGCTGGCGCAGGGTAGCAGGAAGCTCTCCCACACACTCACAGGGCCTGGGCTAGGACTGGATCCCCCCCAATAACTTTTTGAAACAATTCAAGTTTTTACAGAATTATGTTAATCATTAAAGTAATTCTTAGTTATTTCACTATTTCCTCACATAGAAATTTATAAAAATGGCAGACTAAAAGTCAGTATTAATGCTGCCAGTATATGTTTCCTGCCTTTGTCTAGCATGCCTCCTCCCATAATCAGTCATTCTAACACTTCTTCAGTGTGTATCTTTCAAGATCTGTTTGGGAATAACTTTGTGCCCCTGCTTGTCAGTAGCCCGTGTGCCATAGGATCCATGTCTTTGGGAAGACCCACACTAGGTTGGTCATAACTTTAGGCGTGCGGACAGGGTTGAGTCACACTTGTACCTGGCCCCAGATGACCTTCTGTGTAGGAGAGAGAAGTTTAGAAGAACAACTGAGATGTCACAGAAGAACAGATGAGGTCTGTGGGATTCATAGTGTAGAGGGAACACATTTGACAGGATAAGAGGTAATGTATGAGCCATATCTTGAAAGACATCTAGATAAGACATGCCCTGGGGAAAGGCAAAAAAGCAGATGTACAGGCAATAGGAAGACAGAGAGCAAAGATTTTTGCAAGGTTATCACATTGTCCTGGGGTGCAGCATATGTATATGGGAGCAGTAGTAGATAAAGATCCAACTCTGAACACCTCTAGAAGAAACGGGAAACTTTTTGAACAGGAGGTGTTCCTAGGTTATATTAATCAGACATTGGAAGAGTGCAGTGTCAGTCACAGTCTTTACAGTTATTTGCATGGAAAGTTATCACAGTGAGGTACACTGGCCATAGAGCTGTTGCTTAAATGAGATCGTAACAGCTATTATGCTCCATACATCTGAGAAAACCTTAATTGTAAGCCATATCCTATTTTCCATGCCAGTAAGAAACAAAAAAGTGTCATTTAATTTTAAGAGATCACTACTTATGAAATATATCAACTTTAGAGATCACAGTAAAGAAGAAATGTACATCACATAAATCAGTGAAATGGGGCCATTGCACAGGCACAGAGAACCAGTGGTATGCTCCAGAAAGAAAAGAGAAAGAAGAGGAAATAAGATCAATAACAAAGGTGGAAAAGTTGAGCTTAAAGAACAAGTATTCATTTACTTCTCTTATGAGAAAAATAAATAGTGGTCTGAAGAGCTGGCCAAATAGCTCAGCAGATTAAAGTGCATGCAAGCAGGTGCTGGGGTCTGGGGTTCTATTCCCACCCCCTTGCCAACCCTGCCCCCGGGGTACATGGCGATTGAGACTGGGTATAATGGTCTGAGACAAACAATGGACAAGAGAAGTTTAGAAGCCAGGAAGCTAAAAAATTAAAAAAACTGATATAAAATAACCTTTGTCTTGATAAAAGAGAAGGCAAGGTCATCTGCAAAAAGATTGACAGTGGTGGGTTTGGGGGCTTGAGCTTTAAGAGTGAATTGGTTTTAAGTGATTGGGACATGAAAAATATCTCAGAAATGAGGGGCCCAGATAAAATACAAGGATTTATAAAGAAGCAGTTGGCCCTACCTTATGACCTTGCCCAGGCTTACTTGGTACTCTCAGAGAAGGACAGAAGAAAAATTGCTTTCTGCATGGTAGGAGATTAGCTGGACACAGGTAGGGTGGAAGGACAGAAAAGGTCAGCAACCTAGTTCTCCTGGGGGATATTGATTTGGCATGCTGTGGAGTTCAGGCAAGCAATGAGAGGTGAGACCAGAAGAACAATGATAGGTGAATACAGGGTTTTCTTATTTGGGAGGGAGTGGTGGGGAAGTTGATCATTAAAGATTGTAAAGAAGATGGAAAGTTCTTTTGAAGAGAGTAGGTAAGTAGATTGGGGAATTTAGGGTCATGTAGGGAGATAGAGTTCTGAGCAGTATCGTGAAGATATATTTTTCTAAAATACACATGAGAATTTATCTGTGTTATTTGAAAAACACTCCAGGTCCCATTTCTTTCATGGTGAATTCTTTACTAATTAGAGGACAGAGAAGGCTTATTCCAAACTGGCCCATGTCACCTTTCTAAGCTCTGTCTCATTTTCTTGTATGATTGTATGATCCCTGTAGTTTTGTTTATGGTTTTGTTTGGTTTGGCTTTCTGTCCTGGGGATTGAAGCCTTTACATTGAGGTACATCCCCAACACTTTATTCTTTGAGATAGGGTCTTGCTAAGTTGTCCAGGCTGGATTCAAACTTGTAATTATCCTGCCTCAGCTTTGAGTGTTAGGATTATAGATATGCAGCACCCCTGGCCTCTTCTATAAGTCTTCATAGTGCTCAGAGTTCTTAAGGCTGTTGTCTACCACCTTGCCTTTGCATGTGCTGTTCTCCTTCTTTTATACAAAATGCTCTTTTTTCTTCGTCTCTGCTTTATCACCTCCTGCCTAACCTTGAGAACAAACTCTAGTGCACACCTCTGGGGCCTTCCTGGTGTCTGCCCAGGCAGAGTGTATTGTGTGACCATCCACAGGCCCTGGGCCCCTTACTGTCTCCAGGAGATTGTGAACACCTTAGAGTCAGAAAGGAATTTTCTTTTCCCCTACCACATGTTAGGTAGATAATACATGCTTGCTGAAATTAGAGTGAATGAAGTAACTGGTCCACCTCAAATTGTGTGTCCACAGGGTCACTCACTCAGCTATCTTGATTAACAGTTGGGCTCTAAGTCTGAGGTGGGGCCCAAGGTTCTGACTTTCTAGTAAGTATTAGTGATGCTCACGCTAGTAGTTATGAAAGTGAGTCAAAAAGATCCTTGATGGAAACCCTGGAGCCCCAAAATGACGACAGAAAATTGTTCAGGAAGAGATACTTAATTAAAGCATGGAATACTGTAGAAAAGAGGGCTGTTGTTGACAAGATTGCAGGAATATAGTTATATGGCTTCTGTTTTAGAAACAGGAAGGTGGGGAGGAGAGAGGACTGCAGTGCAGGTGTGTCCTCTGTGGAGAGGGCTGGCACAGGAAGTGGCAGCGGGAGTCAGATTCAAGGGGCTCCTGTGTGGGGAAGGACCTGCAGTACAGGGGTGGTGAGAGAACAGCAAAGGCTGGCTCACTAACAGGGACTCCCTGAAAGAATGGTAAGGATTAAAATCTCTAATCCTAATTTGCAAGGATGAAGGCATGCAGTTTTTAATTTTTTTGGTTCAGGGTCTTGCTGTGTAGTTCAAACTGTCCTCAAACTCGGCCATCCTGCTGCCTCAGCCTATGAAGTGTTGAGACTGCAAGTGTGTACCACCACTCATGACTTTTTTTTAACCTCATAAATAACAGAAAAAGTAACCCTAGTAATAAACATTCTTATTAATCCTCATAATTCTGAGTATAATAATTCTAAGGACAGGTTCAACAAACTTAATTTTTAAAAATACTATTGAACAACTTTTTTAATATATAAAAGGTAGAATGTTTGAATGTCTTCCCACTAAGTCCCTTCTCCCCATGGTGAGCAGTCAGTATTTTCATCCTGGTGAGGACTATTCCAGATGTTAACTGTGTAAACTATAAATTTCTATAGTCGTATTTTTTATGTGTGTGTTCCATTGTTTTCTCACTTTACAATATGTCATAAATATTCCTTCAAGTCAATGGACAGAGCTCTAACTTACTTTTCCCATAGCCATTTTTAAATAGTTATATATAAATATAGATGTCTCATAATTCATTCTAACATTCTGTTATTGGACAATCGGGCAATTTCCAATTTTTGTTACTACAATGTGACCAAAAAAGCCCTCTTGTTACTGGTGTCACAATAACATGACTGTCTGACTTTAACCACTAATATGTACCAAAAATAACTTTTATATCATCTTTTAATGAAGTGTAACACTGTATGTAATAGCCACTCATCACATGTAGCTATTAAAATTAAATTAGTGAAAATTAAATTTAAATCTACTTCTTAGTGCAAGTGCTTGGCACCCTGTGTGAGTAGTTGCTACCATACCAAACAGCACAGAAGAGACCATTTTTATCTTACAGAAAATTACATTGTGCAACCTGGACTAGACATTTAAATGTTACATTTTAAAGAACTTTTCAATGAGTTGATGTTTTTATGGCATACATTTAAAAAAGTGAAAAGTATGTCTGTATTGGTTGTCTCTGCAGTTACTTCAATGAGAATCAATATCCAGATGAAGCAAAACGAGAAGAAATTGCAAATGCTTGCAATGCAGTTATACAGAAGCCAGGTAAGGAGGCAAGCACAGCTCTGCACTGATGCTCAGTTACATTTATATGTTTAGGACATAAGCTCTCCCACCCATGTCTTGTTGGCTGTCCATCTGTGCAGTACTTCTGAGATAACACTGTGCAGTCACCACCAGAGTGTTTCCTGAGAGTGGCTCTGCATAATATTTGAGACCTTAAAATTGCTTTTTTTTAGATAGAAATTTTTTGTAAAATTTAGTATAAATATAAATTCCAAAATAATTTTATTTGATGTTTAAGATATTTAAGGAAATGTAGTTAATAAAAAGATTTAAATAGATTTTTTTATAACTGTTATAAATTGTGTGATTTTATATTCCTTTTGGGAGAAGGAATTCTTTTTGGACTTGGCTTTTATGTTCTCTCTACATTGAGAGGCCCTCCTCTTAGGTAGGAAAAACATAGGTACATTAGTGCCATTGTGAAGTCCAGATGTTCCTGTGCAAGTCAAAGAACTATTTATGTAGTTTGTGTGTATTTTATTTCATGTACTTGAATACTATTTCACATTTTACAGATTTTGTTACCAGAAAACCATTTTCAGTTAAGACGATCCCACTGGTTTCTGTTTGGCCTGTTACTTTGAATAATTGAAAGACTATCTTGCAGAAGTATCAGTGTTTTATAACAATGAAGCAGGAAGTTATTTTTCCTATCCAGAAGCCAGACTTTCTTTCCATGTGGGCTCTACAAATGCAGTCTCACCCACACGTGTGTGAAAAGCATCTGTACCCTGAGTTACACAAGCCAAAAGCCATGCAACTAGAAGTCTCCTTGGAAATCTCTTTACCCCAGTATCATTGATACCCCAACAAGTCTGGTTTCTCTATCTACTGTAAATTAAAAGCTGAGAAACAGACAAAAAAGGAGGGAGTGCTTCAGGTGGGTCCTTACTGTCAAGCATGTTTTTCTCCATAAGAAATCATCTTTGACATCAAAGAATACAGAAGTGTAATGTGGCTCGAGCAGTACTTCGTATTTCGGTATAGTCACAAAAAGGATGATCCCAGGGCTTTTGGCCTTCCAGGAAACATGTCTCGTGACCTGTGTCTTAAGACAGCAAAATACTAGTTAGTATAAGGCCTTGCAAAGGACACTGTGTCCCTGTAGAATAGTGCAAATGAGTGAAGCTTCCCTGATACTGTCACATAACTTTGATCTGGCACCTTGGTAAACTGACTGTGTGGAATGGAATTCTTTAGTGTTGTGTAGGCTTTCTGAATTGAAGTGTACTATTAGTTGCAGTTTGGGTATTCACTTATATGGGTGTGGACATAGCAGAAGATAATGCATAAAAAAAGTTGCACTGCATCTCTTGTTTCTTGTTAAATGGAATCAAAGCAACTTAAAATGTTATTCCTTAAAAGTAGTTCACTCTGGAATCCCAGATATAGATTATCTGAATTTTATTGCATGCATTCACAGGCAAAAAACTGTCCGATCTGGAACGAGTTACCTCCCTGAAAGTATATAATTGGTTTGCTAATAGACGGAAGGAGATCAAGAGGAGAGCCAATATTGGTAATGTATCAGAGTGGCTGCTTTATCTTGTGAGAAAGTTCCAGACATCATGTTTATTTTAGGAATGACTTCAGTTTAGGAACTGTAAGTTTAAATTATCCTAACTTTTAGGCCTAAGAAGAGTCATCTCTATGATTCATTTTTTAATAGCCCAAAAGTTAGTATTATTTACATTATTTGTATTATAATAATAATGACATTGTTACTTATAAAATTCATTGTTTTTAATATTCTAAATTATAGAATTAAACAGACCCTTTGCAGTTGAGTACCTTGTTTTTCAGATTAAAGATTCTCATAAGGTTTAGAGAGGAATTGTGACTTGGTTTAAGCTTGTTTGTTATTACTTGACTCTAGCTTAGATAGCAGATAAAACCTGATTGACATTATTGGGATTGGCCACGAACACAGTAAAAGGCAACAGACGATAAAGAGAGAATTTAAAAGGCTGAAAGTGTAGTTCAGTAATAGAGTGCTTGCCTTGCACGTATAAGGCACAGGTTTTGATCCTGAGTACTGCAGAAGGAAAAAAACATTAAGACATTTTTAATTCTGATTTTAACCATTTTGTGATATATAGATATCTCAAAATGTCTCATTGTATACAATAAAAGCTAGGATTGTCTGTCTGTCTGTCTGTCTGTCTGTCTCTTTAAGACAGAGTTTTGCTAAGTTGCCCCAGCTGGGCTGAAACTGGTGATCTCCTGCTTCAGCTCCCTTACAGTGCTGGGATTAGAGAGGGATGTGCCACCATGTTCACCTAAATATATACCATTTTAATTGTAATATGTACCTTAATAAAGCTGGAAAAAAAAAAATACTGACACTAAAGAGAATTATGAATATTCTAATGAAGAAATAAAGCCTTTTTTCCCATTTAGAACACAAAAAAAGAAAAAAATTTGAATTGTTGACATTGAGGGTGAGGATTGGTTTTAAGATTCTGAACTTCCATTTCATTAAATAAATATAATTCCATTTCATCACTCCAATTCTCAAAGCTTTATGGAACACCAAGACAGGTGAGCTGTTCAGTTAGTTAGTGAACTATATACTTCCAGCTTACAGGAAGACAGACAGTGTAATGTGCAGAGCAGAGAGATTCCAGATGGGGAGAGTGTGTCTCCCCAAGCTGCATGCATTTGAATTTCATCCATCTGCAGCCTGAGAGAACCAAGATGTCACAGTGTCAAGGGATATAGGTTATTTCGCTACATTCTCATTATGCTGTGGCCATTACGATAAGCCATATTTGCTTTTGCTTTTGCTTTTGTCGAAGAAGCAGCAATCCTGGAGAGTCATGGGATAGATGTACAGAGTCCGGGTGGCCACTCCAACAGTGACGATGTGGACGGCAATGACTACTCTGAGCAGGTGAGCAGCAGGGCTTGGGCCCGAGGTTCCTGGGATTAAGTGGTGGGACAGGGTGACAGTGCTGTGAAGGCTGTGGGTGTCGGGTCTGGGGTGGGGGAGGGCAGGGAAGCAGCTGTCGTCCCTCCACTCTGCTCATGTGTCTAGTTAGACTGTCATGTAATTTGAAAGGAATGTGGTAAGATTCAGTTGTCCTGTTGACTTTGAGAGATTGCTATTCACCCACATGGATTTATTGTCATACAACAGGATACTTGGCAAGTACGCAATGGGGAGGAGGAGGAGGGAAGAAGTTCAGAGGGAGGCAGAGAAGCAGAGAAGGTAGAAGAAGAGAGGAGGATCTGATCCAAACAAGCAAGTTACACCATTCACCACACACACTCAGTGTTTGAAAAGCACTAGGGGCAGCTGGGCAGCTGTGACCCCTGCCTAAACATGTACTGGAGCAGGGCACAATGGAAGGCCCACCCAACCTGGCCCCATTGCAGTGAGAACCCTGTGCCCCGGGGAGTGGCCCCTCCACCTCTGGCGCGTTGACACTCCATCCTCATGCAGCACCCGCATGCCTGCTCATCACGCCTGTCCTAGCCTGCATTGCTTGGGTAAACATGTATTTAACTGTAGCCACTGCATGGAGTAATTGAGTAACTAAGACTGTGGGAGCTTCACCCCCACATATGTGTTGACAGATTTCATTGTAATTTTTAGAGTTTAAGTTTTATTTCCATTTGGAAAGTGCTGGCAGTGTATGGTTCCTTCCTCAGACTGCAGCCAGAAAGTTTTTGCTCTTTCCTGTGGTCATTTTTCTGGCCCCTCAGTCGGTTAATTTATAAAAGTAGCCCCTGTGTTCTGTGTCCCAGCCGCCTGACAGCCATTTATCACATTATACCCAGACTATCTGAGTGAGTGGAATTCCACGCAAATCCTCTTTTGAATCCTGAAGACTATTCTGTGAAAATTGTAATGACACACTAGTCGTGATGCCCCAAGTGTTACTTTTTTCCCTACTTTGGACTCCAAATCTTAGCCCTGTCTTGTACTTAGAGACTTAGAGAATGTTTTGTCTTTCTAGTTGGAATCAGTCCTGTTTTGTCACCCAGTATAGATGAATCATTTCTGTCCTTTTGTGCAGATGCCCTGAGGACAGCACGTCCCATGCTTTTCCCTCAAGGGACTTTCCCTTTCTAAAACTCTGCTACACAGTTCCCTGGAGGTGTGACAGGTGAGAAACACACCCTTTAAGTGATACCAGCTTTTTTCACACCTTTATTGTTTAAATTGAGGAAAGAGAAGCAACTCTAAGTCAGGCTCCTGTATGCCCCACCCACCAGGAGCCATTTTAGGCAACTACACTTGTCTCCCATGACTGACAACTTCTGGTTGGTTTGTTTTCCTTTTCTGTAAGATGTTGGTGCCTGTAGCTTTCTCTAGCTTTCTCAGTTCAGTAGAGAAATAGCATAGATTCTAATAACCTATTTGTAAGTACGAATCCATAATTTAGTATCTTACTACTATGGCCTACAATTGATGCTTCATCTGTTCTAACAGAAGATCCAAATTGTTGGCTTTATATGAGTCATTCCAGGTTTGATCACCACAAGCAATTTTTTGATAGAATGAGTAAAATTCTTAGTGAGAAAAATACTTTTAAGTTCTTTTTATCTATTCAGTCATAAAAATGTCTGCCAGCAGTCTCTGAACTAATACCCATTCAGTGTCTACTTAAATACAGTCCACCTCACTTGCCATGAGCTGCTCATCCTTCCCTTCACACGTGTCCCACCTCTCCGTGCCCTGCATGCCTCTGTGAGCTGGAGCACTATACCATCCACTAATAACATCGGTTCCTTGTTTCTGCACATCTAGGATGACAGCACGAGCCATAGTGACCACCAAGACCCCATCTCGTTAGCTGTGGAAATGGCAGCAGTCAACCATACTATCTTGGCATTGGCCCGACAAGGAACCAACGAAATCAAGACAGAGGCCCTGGATGATGACTGATCAGGGAGGGTTAGACACAAGTTAACTTAGTTTAGACGTAGCACCTTAGCAGACTTTCCTTGGTCCTTAACATGTGTTCTTACAGTATAACTTGCAGTTTCTTGTATGTCAGGTAGCCGTTAGGGTCTTGTTCTGTGAAGATGGCATGGTGCCCTCAGCCTTTGCATATACTCTCTCAGTATTAATTCCCAGTAAATAACCAACCAACGAACCAAACTTCCCTCTCCCAGCCCCTGAGGCTAGAAAATCTTGCTGCTCCGTCTTAGCATTCCAAGAAAGTGCTTCCAGGTATTTAGATATCCCTCAGTTCTCAAGTATTAGGCTGTGTGTAAAATCTTGGGTACCTTTAGATACATGTAACACTAGTGCGTACCCCTTTTCCTTCCCCAGACTGATAGGATGCAAGCTGAGGCAGAGGCACAGGATTGCAGACACCACTTGGGGAGCATCCAGAGCGAGAGGAACACTAGAGCCCACCTCAGCGTGAGAATCACTGATTTCAGCTGCAATAAGCCGTGCCTCATATAGTCACACTGTGGCTAGATTATACTTCTTTGGGTGCTGTGCTAAGAATGTCCATGGAAACTCAAGCTCAGATTTGGTTGACACAGACATCCCTTCCTCTCACAAGCTGTGTGACCTAGTAGATAAAATACTGCCTTCTGCCTTTGGGACCATGATTCAAAACAAAAAGACAAAAAAAAAAAAAAAAAATTAAAAAACAAACCCAGAGCATTGGAAAAAAGTATGAGCTGAATGTCTAATGGATGCTAAGTCCAGTCCTCTGAACCACTGTACATTCCGTGGCACAGTTATCAGTGCCTGCCTGGAAAAGTTTTGGAGGTTATCCTTGTGTCCCCTGTCCTTGCTACCAAAAACGTCTTTCAAGGATGGAGCTAAGGTCAAAAATGAGTAAAAGAACAGTCTGTATCCATTAGCAGAAGCCCCCTCGGTCTGAGTCGTTAGAGAACTTGGGGGATTTTGCTGACTTGACTCACAGATGCAAACACTTGCCTAAATAGCAGAAAAAAGCAGGGGACATTTACCACTTTGGTGGTGGGTGTGTGAGATACTGCAGGATGTGACTGCTTTGTTCTCTTTACTCTGTCCTTGTAGAGGTGTGAAAAGCTATATTGCTACAGGCAATTTATTTAATAATTGGAAGCCATATTGATAATGGATGTGGTAATATTTGTAAAGTTGAATCTACTTTAAGCAGCAGTAACTAATGGAATTTTTTTCCTTGATCACATATGTAGCACTTTTGTTACTTTTAAAAGATATTTATATTTGATAAATATCTTTTTCGTTTTGAGAACTCAAAATACCAAACAGTGAACTTGCGTTATAAAGTCACCCTGTGATCACCTTGTCATCTAGTAGCAAAATGATGAACTATTCATGCATCAAAGAAAATTACATCTGCTGGCCTCGTATGAAAATGATCTCCTGGTATCCGATTAAATGACACATTGTCACTGTGGGTCAGAAGAAACAGCCTTCAATGCAGAGGTGGGGGTGGCAGAAGGGGCACAACAGCCATGAAACCAGCACAACCACTTTCTGCTGGTTCCATCGCTCCTCTGTGTGCCCGAAGAAGCCTCACTTGGGAGGAGGCCGGGTGGACTGTTAGGCAAGCTTCTGTCTTTCTCTGTCCATTAATTGAAAACAGCTTGAGGTAGAAGGAAGATGCCATTTCCTTAACCCCCCCCTCACCAAATGTGCTTAACCTAATTTAAGAGAGGCTCACTGGCCTTCTGTGTTTCTCCCTTTCTCGTTGGGGTGTTTTTAGCTGGTCTCTGCACTTAAGGCAACACTGATGCAATCATTCCCTTGGCTGTACATTGTGCTTCTGGAAGTCTTTGTGAGGGCATGTGTATGCCACCTTCCTATGTCTGTGACTTAAGAGTTAGGTCAGGGCCTGGTCCTGCCCTGTCCCTGGATTTCAGGGGAAAATGTATACATTTTCCTCAATTTCCAAGAGTTGAAGTGAAACGGAGCCGTTTTCTGTGTTACTGTATTACTTGAACCAACAAATTAAAGAGTAGCATTTGTTATTCTCAGGAACGAGCCCCCTCCCACACACTCCTTCTCATATCCTTTGTTTATTGTACTTTTTATTTCAATTGTGAGATTCTGTTATCTTTCCTCGTATTTTACTTAGAAGAAATATATCTTTCCATTTTGATGGAATTTTGTCTGCTTATTCTTAGTTTAATCAGAACAAGGAGAGGGGAAAAAATATATTCTCTGACAAGCCACATCCATGATTTATTGTCAGGAGATTACTGTAATTGATAGCTTCTTTAGGATGGGATTCCTAGTGTCATTTATTTGCTGGTCTTTTTAAAGGAACAAACTCAAACTGCTAAGACAGCTGCAGTTTCTAAAGAAATCCAGTGATTACCACAGAAGAGCTAAAACGTGCTGTTTTAAGACCTTTGAGGATGAAAAAGCATCAGAAAATAAGGAGTTGGCGTCAGAGCAGGCAGTGGTGGCCGGGCTGGCAGTGGTGACCCCGCAGGAGCAGGGCTGCTAGGGCACAACACGGGGTCTGAGCCAGTGGGCATGGAGGGAGGACATCTGCCCACAGCTCTGGGGACTAGCAAAAGCTGCAAGGCAATCTTTGCTTTTTTAACCAGACATTGGAATGAACATCGTTGGGATCAAGATTTAACTCTCTCTTCAGTTTTCTGCTCCAGGTTTGGTTCTGCTGTCTTGTCCAGACCACCTTAGTTCTTGTAGTGACGATACAGCTGCCGCTGTTTGGTTTCTAGTATTTTGGATGGGAAAACTTTCTCTGAACTTTTTCAGGTTTTAGATGTGGTATTAAAATAGAAATCCTCAAAATGCTCTGTCACTGAAAGGAAAAGCCAGACTTAAAAGTCACATCTCGTGCTTCTTGGTAGCTCTGAGCCTGCTCTCACCTCTTTCTGTCCTTCAGGCCCAGAGTACTCTTGGAGCCTTGTTCCTTTCTAGTCCAGGAAAGTTCTTTAAATGTGGGATCTAGTCATATAATTTATCTGCTATTTTTATTTAAAAATATTGTAATTGATTTACTGTGATCAGATGTGCAAGCTTCCCACCCAGCCCCCTCATGAAAGTACCCAACCAAGACAATTTCCACCTGTATCAGTCAGTGCCAACAGTGGACAGAAGCAGGCAGGTAAGGCAGCAAGGATGGGGACACTGCAAAGACATTTTGCTTTGGCTGTGCAGAGCTGGTATTGTGGGAATATCCCATCAGGCAGGTTGCACAGGTAAAGGGCATTTGGGAGCCTGAGAGCCCCTTCTGAGGAACCTTTGGTCCCAGCTGCAGAGGTGTGGAAGCAGCTCGTGCATACTGTTTGACCTATTTAGTGCCCATGACTGGACTGATTCTTAACTCGCATGAAGAATTTACTGATACAGTTGTTTCAGTTCTTGCACTTGGGCCTTCATCTTGAGGAACTCCTGTCAGAAACCTTCCTCCTGTAAACCCAGCATCAGGCACCAAGTATAATATACTCAGCCAGCAGCCTCCTGTCAGTTCCTCTCTGTCTCTGAACAGTTGCTCTGTTCACTGTGCTCCACTGCCGTGTCCTGGTCGAGCTGGCTTTCCTAGAGTTGATCTGCGGGCTGCAGGCAGGGGTCCGGCTTGGTAGCACCCTCGTTAGCAACCTGAGGACACAGCATGCTGTCCAAGGGGCCGGGCTCCACATGGAGCTGAGCAGCCCTCTCGTCTCCACCCTCAGCTGTGAGAATAATCCCTTCTGCACAACTGATTGCCACCCTGTCCTATGAATGTGAACTCCAAGTCCTTATCCTCTCTGAGGTCTTTAGAAGGATGTAGTTAGAAAAGTCTTCCCATTTAACTTGTAGCTCTGCATTTAAAAATGTTTTTTATCTTTTGTTCAGAGAACAACCAGAGTATTTTTTTTCCCTGTGAGTCTCAACAGATTGGTAGGCAATAATTTTTCTTATGGTTGGTGGTTCCATGCTCAGTGGCACTCTGTCTACGTTGAATAGTCCTGACCTCCTATGGTGTGTGTTGGTCTCTGTGTTAATCTCTGTGATTTAACTTTTAGGCCAGAGTGGTGATGTATTGTGTCATTTTGTTGTTGTGATTATCAGTAATGTTTCACTACTGTATTCCTTTGGGCTGCATCAAGACCAGCCAAATCTATTTATAGCTTTACTGAGCCGGATTTGTCTGTCAGGATTTCCCAGGTGAGAGGTGAACTCAACTGAGCAGTTCTGCTGGTGGGTCAGAGGGCGGGCCAGGGCTGCGCTGGGCAAGGGCCGTGTTACAGCATTCCTTTGTATGTGTGCTCCTTCAATAGTGAGATGCTTACTCAGGGCTCAGGGATCAGTTGTCAGCCAGCTGAGCTGTGTACCCTAAACCCTCCCACTGTCCCTCAGTTTCCAAAGTGTCTAGCTTGCATTCCTGGAACCACTGAGTGGTCCATGGGAAGGTAGTGCCCTCCTGAAAACAGGAAGCCTTCCTGGAAACAGCGCTGCAGCCAGTGCCACCAGCTCAGAGCAGGCCCCCATCTGTGCAGGTGCCTTCCTCACAAACTCTTGGCTGTACATCTTTGAAGTCTGCCAGAACCGACACACAGCAAGAGAAAGGCTCTTGCGATCGGCATGCTGAAATGGTTGGTGCTGATCACAGAAACTCCTCTCTGATGTCCCTGGGTACTGTTCCGCAGGCTCCTCCCACGCTCTTTCCTTAAGTGAGAAGCACCTGCTCTTAGTGTCACAGATCACACTCCTGTGAGGTCTTATTCTCAGAAATGATACTTGGGTCGCATCTTCTCACCTTTAAATGCTATAAATTTGTAAATGGAGAAGTTTCTGCATCACCTTCATTACTCTTGGTTGGGATGAGAAAGAGAAGAGAAACCCAGTCTCCTGTAGTACTGGATCTCTTTTGTAGTGAGGAACAGAGGGGAGATAGGAGAGAACCGTGAGGGAAGCTCAGCGGCGCCCGGTTCCTATCCTGCCAGCACAGATGCCTTGCGGTCGTAGGTGTACACTGCCCTTAGCTTCTTTTATCATTCTTGACATTTGGGTACAAGTAAATCTAGTTGTGACCATTCGAGTGAAACTTGCCTGGTGCTTTTCCACCACAAGTTTACCAGGCACATTCTATTTTTTTTTTAATAAATTTTATTTTATTTTATTATTTTTTTTTCCAACCAGGCACATTCTAGGACCTAACCTCTGCTGAGGTCCCTTCTGCATGGAACGTTTCTGGTGGACTTGCCGTCTGTCCTTCCACTATGATCCGTGCTCCGTGTCCACCCCTCCGCAAGGCGTGGTGCATATGCATGTGGCCCAGCGCCTGGGGAGGCCGGCTCCCCTGACTCCATTTTTGTTTTCTTTCCTTTAAGTAAGACTGGCTGTGTATAGCCATAATTAACTCACAAGTTCACATTGGTGTGCTGCAAGCAAGGGGAGGTTTGGCTGAATCTTTTCAAATTGTAACCATGGTAATTGAGGGGGGTGGCACAGAGTGAATATATAAAAATATAATGCCAATTGTTCTGAATAACTGAATGTCCTCCTGACATGTAATTAGCTGTTTTAGCAGGATGTAGATTGGCATGGTCATAATTAAGAGGATTTCTGTCCTTTATGTGATTGAAAATAGCAGAGCTCCCATCCCTCAGTCCCTTTTAGCACTAACGCTCCCAAGAACATTGGGAATAGCAACTCGGTAAACTGAAATAATGGCCTAGCGTTCATGTTCTCCCAGAGCGAAGGAGGCGGCTTGGAGCTATTTCAGCCCGAGTGGAAGCCCGTGATTATGGCTTTCCATGTGACTTGTGAGTTCTCTGAAGCCTCCCTCTCCTCTGCTCAGCCAATTTCACCTTGGACAGAGACCGGGCAGAGTCCTTGCGCGTGCTGACGAGGCCACATCTGCCCGCACACCTAGGGTTTTCAGAGTCCTCGTGGGCCACATCGCCATCGTGTTCACCTAGTGGCAGTTTGCAGGCCTTGTATAACGTTTTCCTCCTTGGCTCTCAGCTCCAGAGCAGACAGCCCAACAAGGACACAGACCATGACCTTCCCCCGGAAGGTCATGATGGAAACACCAGAGCAGCAGGGTGTGCTGCCGTCATTGAGCAGCAGGGCCGTGAGAGTGTGCCCGGCCCCCTCATGCCACTTTGCCCAGCAGGTTCTGCCCTCCCTCACCAGCTTCCTGTGCAGTTGTGCTCACAGCACACTGTGGCCTGGTTCTCACCAGTCCTCTTCTCACTCCCTGTCCTCCCCACCCACGCTTCCCGAGCCTGCAGTGTCCTGGCCACTGCCCCTTTTCTCACCCTGAGGTGGCTCTTATGTAGGCGCTCGCCCATCACTCGCCGGCCTTGCGCTAGAATACGGCAGTAGGGGTCTGTTTCATTTCTCCATCATCACTGGGGCCTTCATCTGGTTGGGCGTGGCAGCAGCAGGGAGCACCAGTGGGCCTGCCACCGCTTCCTGCCCTTGCCCGGGCTGCACATTGAGGACAGGTCAGCAGCGGCTTAGCAAAGTAAAGCTCTGGCTATTGTTTTTATTTTGCTGCTTGTCCTTGTATAAGTCTTTCCCTTCTGCATCCACAGGGACTGCCAAAAGTGCAGGTTACAGTTTCATCTGCTGAGCAAGCTGCTTGTTTAGAAGTGTCCTCTTCCAAGGGCCGGAGAGACAGCTCAGTAGAATAAGCACTTGCCTGGAAGCACAGGGTCCTGAGTTCAATCCCTGGTACCGCAAAAAAAAAAAAAAAAAAGAAGTGTTCTCTTCCTCCTCCTCCCCTTCCACCTCCACACACATGACACTCAGGAGAGTGTTTCGGGCCTTGGTTTCTTTTAGCTGTGGTCCTCTGCATATACCTGCCGTGGAATAGTAATTGTGCTGGTTTAGGGCCAGTTCTTGTGTACACCAGTGCCTCTCCCCTACAAGCCATCTGCCTGGGCTAGAGACAGAACTGAGCACATGTGCTAACTTGATGACCATGAGACATTCTC